CCCCCATCCACCTTTATTCTTTTCTTTACAATAAGGCTTTCAAATAAGTCATGGCTGTACGGCAGTGAAACATTGGTGTTGAGCACTGATGTCATGCTGTCGTTGATGATGATGATGGGGGTTACATCTCTAGCCTTTGCTCAGCCAATTACAGACTGAAAAGCAACAGGGATGGTGTGGAGAGCATGCCGTTTTATTTATACTTGACTTTATCCGTCTATTATATCAGTTCTGATTTTCCGACCAAGTGCAACCCATAGGACGTGGATGCCGTTGACTGTTGTACGATAGCCATTGGGTGCGGCATATAGCTCATCAACCTTGTCTCTAACGGACTGTCGATTAAGGCGATGCATGAGTTCCTGGTTTCTAGGAGGAATAGGACAGATGGTGTGGGAGAGGAGAATGGATGACGAACTGAGTTCAGGCGAGTGTTCCGTTTGCTGGCAGAGTAGCGAGACAAAATGACCGTGCAGGTTGAACGATTGTGCTTTGACGAGCTGCAGTGTCAGTCACCTACATCGGTGATCGGTGGCTGAACGGGTTAATTGGGGAGTGGTAAATGGATGTGGTTGAAGCTCAGTGAGCGTAAGGCTTCGAGGGCGAGTGAAATTTTCCAGTTGTCTAAACCGAGGGAAAAAATTTCTCGGACGGGACTCACCAAGAGTTTTCAACTGTTACTCCAGAGTACATATGGAAAGCATGAAACTTGGCAACAATCAGAACTCTCTACAACGCCGTGGATGAGCCCACTGGCACCTTAGAATGCGGATTCAACTGTATCCATAAGCCTTAATTGTTAAAAGGGGATGAAGAACTTGCCATTCTGATAATCAGCTGAAGTCCGACGTGCTAATACTGCACCGTTCTAAAAACAAGTGATGCAGTGTGCGAGAGAGTGTAGTTAATTACCTTGGGTACCAACCAAAAACCGTCCTCCGTCGAGAACTCGAGCATGCCTTCCCGGCTGTTCCACAACTTCTGACTGATGACAAAACGTTGACGTTACATAGTTTATTGAAAGGCAAGTGTTTCGTACAATACCGAACGTACATTGGGAGTCACAGCCCTTTTAAACAATAGCGTAAAAACAACCGTGAGAACGGAGTGAAATTCGGTCATAAGTGCGTGCGATTTCAACTCGAGAGCATTAAACACTATCATTCGTTCTTGGTCTTCTTCCGTGAACTATGCTTTCCGCCACCACCGCTAGGCTCATGCGGAAAGTTCGTGGCACTTCCAGGTTGATTGCTCCCAGACATTTGTGTGACCCAAAATCCAGCAAGTAGTAACAGTCCAATCAGACACAACAGAGACACAAGAACAAGGGTGCCAACAGCGAGTACTAAACCGTGACCGTAGTACCCTTCGAGTATCTGAGTGGAAGAAGAGCAATTAAGGCGAGGATTTAGGGATCCACGAAGCTCCAGAGTAAAAATATATTAAGAACAATTAGACACGATCACAGTGCCACGGATGAGCTGTTTCTGGATGGTTACAATGTGGAAGGGCGTATCAAACATCTAACGAAAAGTTTAAACCACCTCCATGTTCTCCGTCTTTCGGGAAGCGTAAATTAAAATAGAATTAAGCTAGACTTGTTTGTTTCACCTTCGAAATTACATTATTTTTAAAGCCTTTCTTGTTTGTGACCGGAAGCAGAACGATTCATAATAATAAAAAATAAAGTCAAGATAATGGTTCAAGCCAAGGATATCGTCAAGCGATACTTACCACGTAATTTTCAACAATCCAGTCCAACAGTTCATCGCTGGAATTGAAAGTAAATCATGCGAACCGTTAAGCATTCTCTGATCTAGGTCATAACAGCCTGGGTTCTCGACTCATTCACTTCTCAGATGCGGAAATCCAACAGGATGAGGCTGATCTACTAACTGAAATCAGTTGTGCAAATGAAACCAGTCGCTGCGCCGTGTCGCGTAGCATCGTATGCGGTGGTAAGATGCAAATCATCCTTCGTACCGAGTGCAAGCTGACACAGACGGGAGACGAAACCGTATGTTAACCAGTACTTTCCATCCGGTTTATACACTGTTTATACCCGCGTTTCGGCGAGTCTACATTCCAGTCATCCATGCACAGGACTTGCAATAATGTTGTTCATAAATCACCAACGGTACTAAAAATTAAGAATAGCTAGGTTAACCTAGACCGCTGTAGGTCACATTAGATCTGTTCCGATAGTCAATATTGGACTAGCCGGGTACTCTAGAAAATATCAACCCATTGGTTTCGAACAGCTGAGCGATAAACAAGCCATAATCGTCAGTCATCCAACATGTTCTTGAATAAGCCAATTTGGTTGACAAACTAGGCAATAGAAAGTTGGTCACGAATCTTGGAAACAAATGGTTTGTAGTTTCCGGATATGGTAACAACATCGGGTCAATGCAAGGCTCCAATCGTATTGACGCAGGTCATCCGTTATAGTTATTTGGTTGAATATTATAGGCTTGTCAAGATAACCCTGACTAGGCAGTCCTTTGTAACAGAGATAATTCCATTCAAGTACATTCTAGTCAAACGTCTATTTTGCAAGGTTGTATACGTAGCTAGATGCATGACATTGTAGGGCACTTGAACAGCGCCTCTAATCGAAAGATTAAAAAAAATCACCTGAGAATCGTAATTAACACACACAAGTTCGAGCTACAATGCAGGTAATGAACGAGCAAGCTTACAATCGCATCCGTGGACGTGGGATTACCGATTTCGGATGTTCCTTGAATTCACCAGCAGCGAACTTCAGCAAGCGTTCAAAATCAGTTCGTTGAATGAAACCGGAGAATCGATACAACTGCGAACGATGTAGCCTGGTTTAAAACACAACAACGGGATGAGGTAGACACACTCGAAAGCGACGAGAAGTCATTCAGGACGAATTAGATTTGCATGGATTGCAAATCCACAAACTTTCTCATCCGCAGTCTCGATGATATGCGTAAAAAAAATTGGACAACAAAGTGGCCCTATATGAGATGATATGCGTAACCCTATTTAAAAATTGGACAACAAAGTGGCCCTATATGACATTCGATCTCGCCGAAAACTGGATTATTTTTCAATAGACATTTAACCTTATACGTGAATTCAATCTATGCTGAAAACGGGAACCATCAGCAGCACGCATTTCACGAATCCCGATGGAGACTCGAACTCGCAACCTCCTGGTTAGGAGTTGAAGATTAAATCGTTCGGCCGCGAGCGGCTGAGCAGCGACACTCGTTGTCCATGGTTTCCGATGAGGAGGAACATTTGTACAGTTCTTTTACGCTTTGCAGCATAGACTGACTTCAGTTACAGAAGAAAAATCCTTATAGAATGTTCCCAAAGGCCCTCACACTACCAACAAGTAAATTATGGTTTGTTCAATCAGGTGAAAAATGCTTGGAACCGATTGAGTAGTCATCGTTTTCGGAAGTTTGGTAACAATCGGTAGCCCAGCAGTGAATCTACCGGTTGTTACCAAACTTTTCCGAAAATGATAAATTATGGTTAATCAGTGTCAGAAAGTGCATACACAATGCGAACCCTGCCTTCGAAGTAGAATTCGTTGAGAATAGGTAATGGGATCGAGAACGGGGTCAGGTGAAAAATTACACTTGTGCATCAGACACGTAGCATTTCGGACGATCATGATGAATAATGGAGTGAATTGAAGTGTCACCATTAAGTGAGGTTAGGTATGAACAAGTTATGGTGGGCCTGGATGACAGATCTGCTCGCTAATAAATGAAGAAATCAAGCAGTTTGAAAACGGAGTACAAGTGATAAGCGTATCAGTTGAACGGAGGACAATGAATTCGTTATATACTTATTCCTGAAGGATAAAATACGCATTTGTATAGTATGAGGTATCAAAAAAAGAAAGGCTGAAAACCGGCGCAAAAGGTGATTGTACGATCGCATTTTGCACGCGAACACAAATATCACCTGATTCACATAAGTAAACAAGACTTTTAGAATATTTGTCAACATGCACAACACATACCTGATTTACTCTACACTTCTAAAGACAGTAAGCCATATCTTGCACGGCATTCGGAGTACAAGCACGCAACGGTTTCGGAGACAATTTCGGCCAAATATCTGGTTGAGGTAGCGACCATAATTTGGCACGCATCACGTTTGCCGATATGCACCGTTTGTTGACTGGAAGTGACTACTAGTTTGAAGGGTTCCGTTACCAGGATACAGTAAAGGCTATATTGCTATACGGTTGCGAAACGACGTCCGAAGGCAGATGATGTGGGCTCTGTGAATCGTTGACAACCAATGTCTCAGGTTTACGGTTATCCGATAACGTCGAAGAAGAAGAACGTAAAGAAGTAATCTGGTTGTGTCAAGCAATTCGTCGCGGAAAACATTCAGAACTACGAACTACGGCGGCCCAGCCACGTGTTACTACACCGACTCATCGTCTCCTGCGGTGAGTGTTGCGCGTCCTTCAGAATGGCGCAAACTGCGAGATGGATAGCGTGTGAATTCGCAGAAGAATGCGGAGAGTTTGGCTGTTATTGGCGAGGATAGGGCATCCTATCCTAGAGGGTACCCTGTGCTTCACTGGAGACAACAAAAAACGGCAACTAAAAGATGATAGTAGCGTTCATGTTGCCGGCTTCTTCCTAGGTTGTCAGATTCAGCGCATGGAGACATGGGCACATCATAATGGTAGAAGTATGCCAGTACCAGTTCCTTCTCCATCATCTTCATTTTAGGGTCCGAAAAAGAATTCTACTGTGCATATATCATGCCGCTAAAATAAGTCAAACGATAAGGAATTTTTGTCCTTGTGACAGCGTAGCTTTCTCGCGAGCTGCAGACGAGAAAATCAGTCTTTGAAATGAGCTCAAATAATAAATGTCAGATATCATTGTTATGAGCAGAGTTGCGGATTTTCAGTGGTAATTCGTCCCGTAAGTGCAGCCGACGAATGCAGTTTCATCATTGGAAACCATCAGCAATGAGCATCTTACCAAACTCCAAGGAGGTTTTGAAGCCGCGACCTATCCTGACTAGCAGTTCGAACAGTTAACCGTTCGACAACGAGCAGCGCAGGAGCAGTGTAATTGTCTCGCATTCAGGCAGGATGGAGCACCACCAGTCATTAAATCACGGAACCGACATCACGTGGTCAAGTGTTGTCGGTTAACTAATATAAACTAAAGTGTTGGTAGTGTGAAAAGATTCGGGAATTTTCAGTGGAGATTTCGTCCTGCAAGTGAAGCACAATATCAGTCGAGGAAGACGTGATTATATCTAAAGTTCTTGTACGATTTTCTGCCACCAGACAGAAAGGCCATAACATGCGGTTACGTCTTATAGTTCCGTAGGGTCTTGCCTTCTTTTTAGCCAGCCTGCCCAGTACTGAACAGTTAAGTAGTTTGGTCTAACGCTGATTCAGCCTCACGGAGAGCGTGACAGCTACCAAGCCATGGGTGTTGGGACCGAATATTCGCTAGGGACGAAATGGTAGGGTTCCTACAGTCAAGCCATATATGATACTACCTACTCATTGAGTCACACCGGGTAACTGAAGAGGGATTCCAATTTGTTCTCTTTAAATTGGGCATCGCTCTAGCTGATAAATTTGATCCTCCGTGCTGAGTATTAGTCAGGTGCGGCCTAGTGGGTAATCCCATGAAAGTTGCTATAAATGTTATGGCAATTGAAGGGGACCATGGTACTGACACCTAAACAGAACAGTAGTGATATTTTCTGGCAACCAGTTCTTTTGGAACTATTGTTTAAAGTGCTGAATGAAGAAGAACCCAAATATTGAACGCATTTCATCTGTAGCGGTCATTTCCTTGTTCCTTCAACCAACTTCGTTTAATCAGTTTTTTTGGAGCATTTGGCCTAGTTTTATGACTCTGCTACCAGCAGCAGAATCGGGCTAAGCATAACAACGAGCATGACTACAATACTGCCAAGATACCTAAACACACAGGTGAATGAATAAGGAACTCACATCAAAACGGTGATCGACTGACCAGATTGTGCACGGACATTAAAGCGTTTTGCGGTTGATTTGGACCGGACCGGATCTACAATACCCAGACTGACACCACGAGCTCGAAGGCTGAAAAAGAACAACCGGTTAATTATTCAATCCACATCATTAAAAGAGGCGGTTGAATGACACAGCAGGCTGACACTAGCGTCAAGAAAGTGGCAGGTACATTAGCGATTAGGTACAAGGCGCCTGCTCAAGGATGGATATTGACTATTGGGTTATCTAGACAAAATATGTGCATGGGGTACCTATTAATGCGTGACCTTATTCTATAGGGCATCTCTTGTTGCATTCGAATAGACCAGTTCACTGATAATCATCAACATCATTCAAGACAGTATGACACCAGCGCCCAACACTGATGCTTCGGCACCGTACAACTATGACTTAATTGAAAGCTTTATTGTCAAGAAAAGAATAAGGGTTGACAGGGAATTAGTGCCAGCCTACCACTATCATTCCGAGGTGCCTACACACCCAGACACAGATTCTGGAAAGAAACTGACAACACCAACACCACTGACATCGATTAGCAGCCATATCTTGCAGCGTTTCCAACCAAGTGCAGTGGGGATCACGCGGCCCCCATCCTGGTAGACAAGTAGCAGCAGCTTCGTAAGCTTTTTCACACCCCTCTGCAGCTCTCTGTTTTCGCCTTTGAATCGGGCACGGAAAACAGCACTCTCTTCCACAAGCACAATACATGGCCTAACCAACACAGCTTTTGGAGCTGGAAACATTCTTCAATGGAAGTCCAAGTGGCAAAACCGAATACTCGCGTTCTAACTGCCTTTTTACAGAGTCCCCGACATCAACCTACACGAGCCGTTGTCCTGAGATAACGATTGTCAAACATCTGAACAGGTCAGAACTCCAAGCCATACAACAAAACAGCCGTACTGAAGTCTGATACACACGCCATGATACACGTTCAGGGATATCCCACTTTGACGCCATGTGTCCCAACTAAGCAAACACCACCCGGGCCTTACAGATTTGTGCATTGACCTCATCTGTCACATTACAGCCAGGACGAATACAAATTCCAAGATACGTAAAATGCTCCACAACTTCGAGTGCCTCCCACTGTGTTGTAAGTGGTGTTTTCAGTGACTGCAAGTCCACCTGCATGACATTCACCTTGTGGGTGCAAGGTGCATATTGGCTTTGGTCAGTTCATCCAAGAACACCTGCAGCTTCTCCGCTTCGAAAGTCAGAACGATATGGATTACACATGGACAAGGTCTTCGTCAAAGGCTACTTGAACATCGGAATTTTCGAGAATTTCCAGCATTGGCCTCATCATTCCACTGACCACGAAATGAAATAGGAATGGAGAAACTGAGCATCCCTGATGGACGCCGCTTAGTGTACAGTCATCCACCATTGTCTGTACGTACCGAGTCCAATCCATGTCATACCTGAGTTTCAAATGCGCCAAGTCTGTCCCCTTGTGCATCTAGATCTCCGACAACCACAACGATATTCGGGCTTTTAGCTCCCCGGAACAGGGCATTCAGGGCGTCATAAAAATTGCCCTTGATGGTTACGACGACTGTCGTAACATTCACAGTCCTTTCGCCCGGAGACTTAGGATGAGATCAACCACCGCACATCCTATCCCAGCAACCTCTGGATCACCAGATGTGTACGAGTGGAGAGGGATGTGGCGGTTAGCCCAATCAGTGTTTGCATCTTGAATTCTTGTTTCTGAGATACAGTACCCTTGAATGCCAAGCGCGTCCAGTGTGATAGCTAGATCAGCTTGTTGTCCTGCTTACTTCAGTGTGCGGATGTTGAAAATGGCCAGAGAGACTAGTCACCGAGGCTTGAATATTGACTTTGAGATGCCTGAGGATTCCGGCGCCGGATGATGCGCAGATGTTGCTTAGAATATCGATACAGGGCGAACGGAATCACCAGACCTAACCACAGGGTCTACAAGGAAAAAGTCATTAATGGGGTGGGAAGAGAAAATATGTGAAAGAGAAAGAAAGGAGGCGTTGGTAGTATCCTGTTTTCGCTTAATTGCCTTGTTGTATGCAGCATGTTAGGCGATGTAGCTGATAACATCACGCGGCGGCTGATGTGGCATGAGTTCATTTATGTTTATCGCCGTACGTGTGCTGGGATACGGCCAGGGCGCCTGTATCTAGTCAGGGGGACGACCAGGGTCGTTAACCAAGGCGTTTGACTAAAAAACGTGACCGCAGGGGTGTCAGTCAGGAAATGCAAGTACATGAACATTTTTTATGGAACACTTCGTCAAATGCCTCCTCACACAACCCGGAGGACCAACTGACTGTGTTCATCAGAACTCTAACCATCGACCGAACTGGGATCGGATACTCTGCGAGTGTCGCGCGGACATCCCGCAGTATGGCTCAATGGGTAACCAAGGTATACACACTGTCACATTACGGTCCAGTCTCTTCGTGACGGACCAAATCATTGAAAAATCGAAGTTTATAATGACCAGTATCGCTCCAAGGCACATTATAAGACTAGAGGATAGACCTACTGTCATCTGGCAATCACATCTAAATTGTCGGGTGATTTCATATTCACCGTTTCCGAGGAGTTGAGAGCACCTACCTTGACGTCTTTCATCAAGCCTGACCTAATCGCTGTTCGGGAGCGCCGAGCGACTGTGATAGACGTCAGCATAGTCTTGAATGGGTGCGGAGTGACTGTGTGGAATGAGAAGAGGAAGTATCGTGCTGATTAATATTCCCCCACCATAATTTCAGCCACACGTGCAATCGATTGTGATGCCGCCTTTTCGGTTCACCAGCCGGTGATCACTTCTTATCGAGGGATCTGCTTTCCTCAGTCCACCAAGGCCGTTATTGGATGAGGACTTCCTAAGGTCATACTCAGTGACCTGTGTATGCTTGCCATTGTGGGCTCTCTTAGTACTTACGACACTTTTATGGCGTCGAGTGTACATTCTTGCCATTGAATCTCACACGTAAGACGGAAACGCTGTGCCTGTTGTGCTAGTGCTTACCGCGCCTTGAAGAGCACTCAGCATTGTTTGTCCTTTCCTCAGTTGTTGGTCTTTACACGCGTGTTTCCATACCAAGCATTCTCACATACGTCGGGATTAATCTTGTCTGACTGGAACTGTTGGTGACATGACTTCGAATGAGATGCTTCTATCTTTTTACCTAATATTCTCCTGTAATCCTTCCACATTCATCGTCTGCATTTACTTTTTTGTCTGTAACCATGCTCTTCAAAAATAAACGATAGCATGGTATAATCAGTCAGTGCTTGCGCAATTATGTTCAGTTTGTTCATTACGACAGGAATAAACATGTCTGACGGTCACAATAAGACGTTTCAGAACTGGTGGCTGATTGTTTCACAGAAATGGATGTAACTACGCCGGAAGTCATAATTACGAATAATCTGAAGCCATGCTAAATTCCAGGTGATAGTATTCAAGGATGGAAATTCGATTGAGTCTCTACTTAACCAACTCAGGATAAGATTGCTATGATTGCTACTAGGTCAGTATTGTGCACAAAGAACCGATAAAGGGGTTCGCCATCAACGAGCGAGCAAGTGGATGCTCCTAAAACTACTAACAAGAAGCTATAAACAGGATGCCACATTGCGCTGTTTGACTACCGCTTCCACCGAAAAGGATAAAAGGGGCGAGGGAGTGAGTCGTCGGAGCCCGGTCAGAGTGAATAAAAAAACTTTCTGCTGGGTGGAGATTCCATCCCGTAAGTGAAGCCAATCTATGCCGAAAGGCAGTAACAAATGCTACATACTGACTTGAAATCATCAGCAGTAAGCATCGAACCCGCAACCTTCCGGTCAGTGGTTGAACACACAACCAGTCGACCCAGAGTGGCTGAACAGCGGTGTGATCTGCTCTCAATCAGACTGGATATAGAGCCGCTCACACTTTAATCACGGTATCCACATCAGGTGGTCACAAGTGTTGACGGGCTCCTCGGGAAACACATTCTCGGATGGTAGTTTCATTCGATGGGTGAATTTTATTCCTCCTATGAGCTACTGATATTTTATTGGTGGTATGAGGAGATTTAGGAATTTCGGTGGGGATTTCATCCTAAGCCAATATATGCTGAAAGACCGAGAAGCACTGTGCAGCTGTTTCACGCTTATTGGGAATAATCAGCGGTGTGAATGTCCCACGAAACTCCAGAGAGTCTTGAACATGACGAAACGTTCACCAGAATTCCCAAATCTCCTCATACTACCAACAAACCTTCAACTATAATCTTGGATCGCGCATAAATTGGGGTAACGTCCAGCTTAACACAAAATATCACCTACGATTACCTTTACAATTAACGACAGGAAAATCTCCTCTACTACCAACAAACCTTCAACTATAATCTTGGATCGCGCATAAATTGGGGTAACGTCCAGCTTAACACAAAATATCACCTACGATTACCTTTACAATTAACGACAGGAGTTCCGAGTAGACGTTGAGGCTCCGTAGGCCGGCCACGTGTTAATGTCACCAGACGAGGTTTAATGGTACTGAGGAGCCTAGGTAAGCTACTCAGTCACAAAACCCCAAAGCATGCACGTTTCGTTTTCTCTAGCTTCACTCACAATGACAAAGAGACTAAGCGTATGGCGATAGCCGACTGAAGGAGATGGCCTAATGGCTGTGATGGCCTCCGAACAGATGTGAAGATGTTTCGCTTTTCTGCTAAGTTAAAGGTGGCATAAGATGGCCAGTAACTAGGCCTACCTATTGACTCCCATTGATTCATCCTATGATCCTGAGGCGCGGCGTCGAAGACCATCGGCAAATGATTCCACACTTGGTTTTCAAATAGTGAGCGTCCGTCTTTCGTCATCAACGACAGCAATACACTAATAATGCACACTGATGCTTAGCTGCCATACAACCATGAGGGTGAGAAGCCCTAGTAAATAGAAGGAAGAAATGGAAATTGGAGGGACTTGTTGCAAAGAAGTACTATGTCCTTAAGGAAAACGAATAAGGATAAGGTGTCTATAATAAAAACAAATACATACGAGCATCTTGTCAGAGTGAGACGCCAGTAGACTGATCAACCCTGCGTCGTTTGCGAACCTCACTCAACATAAGCCCAGCATACAATGATAGGTGAACCTGATCTAGTCCGGTTAGGGAATGAGTCGTCCTGTGGAGTTAATCTGGATGAGGAAGGTGGGCAATGTGAGACGCATGAACTGTACAACTCGTACGTGCTGAAGAGTTCATCCGACACCTAAGCTGATGATCGCTCCAAACTCATCAAGCTCGTAATTGGCGAAATTCTTATGTTCCGTAAAAGTGGAAAAATCACATCAGACTGGGAGGGAAAAGTAAGAAATTACGACTGTCAGCAGCGATTCATCCTGTACGTCGGAACATCGGTAAATCATGAGAACGGATAATAACAATGGCACAAAGATGGAACACGGCAAACCTTTCCTGTAGGTGAGATAGAAAGGTGCACACCACTAATTTCAATCTCTTCAACTGGACTCTTCCAACCCACCACTGGTGCAAACCTACCTAAGAGATAGACCATCGTAGATGTGTAAGCTGGCTTCAGTCATTGCGTCACTGAAAAGTAAAAGGATCGAGTAGACGGCATCAAGTGAAACGAGAAGAACACAAAGAGCATGTGCTTGAAAGCAAGCGCGGAGCCTAATGTACTGAAGGTTGAACTGTAGTTAAAACAAGACTTCATACTTTCGAAGGGTTCATGAAATAATTTGGGCATCACTCAACTCCGAATGTGACCTTGCGGGTGGTTCGTAAAAATGACAATAGTGAATGGAATCAGTTCAAACGGGTTCGACAGAGATGAGGATGATAGTTTAAATTACGTGCATTATTGGTAGCGTAAGCAATCCACCATATCATGACCGCCGAACGACCGTCCATTAGCTAGGAGAGAAATAGTAGCTGTTAGTAAGGCACTCATACCTTGCCACAAATGGATGATCACTAACAACTGAATCTTAATAGAGCGAAATGTGATCTCAGTGAAACAACTGCCTTGCAGACTTCACAATCATAGGTCAAAACGAAAATTGCTCCTAATGCTATAGGATCACTTGTCCAAACGCATACCTCAACAATGCAGTCAATTAAAAAATTGAAGTGTGCCACTGGAAGGGGCAGTGTCAGGTTTCACAAATGGGAGTACGCCCTTCAGAACTCACAAAACAATAAGCCAATCGCCAGTAGTGCCGCCGGTAGAGGCTTGAGTGTCATGTTCGAAATTCGCGTCATCCAAGCGAGCCGACTGAACCCCCGCCGAGAACTGATGAATTGCATTCATTAAGTGTAAGTGATTTGGTGGACCTATGCAAAGCAAGTGGAAAGGATAGAGTAATATAAAACCGCTCATCGAAAGTAAGTAAGTAAGTGATACTCCCTTAGGGGGAGAGTCCACAATGGCTAGGACCTAGTATGCGACCCTCCTGAAGAAGGAATAAATACTCTATGTCCCAGTCGTAAACTGTAATTTATGTTTCTACGTACAACATGCTCTTCCTATATCGCACTCCTGACCACTCCAACAGAACTGACTGTAATTCGAGATCTTTGACGAATCATCTCTGTGAACGCCTTCACCAACAACCATTCTGAATCATCATAATCATCAAAGGCAGCAACATCAGTGTTGACATTGATACTTCACTGCCGTAATTATACTTAGAGCCTGGAAGGCATATTGCACCAAAGACCCCAAAACTTTCACGCCCTTCGGCCAAATCATACGTTGTGCACCTCTCGGTTTGCAACATTCTGAAGGAGGCACGGAGGAAAACATGCGTCTCAGCAGACGGTCCTTCGGCGTGCGCAGCACATGGCCAAACCATCGTAGTCAGAGCACTCTGAATCACCAATCAAAGTTGTTTCACATGCCATCCCTCGGCAGTTTGGATTCCTGATTCTGCCAACTCAGATAAGCAGATAACCAACGGTCTGCCAACCCGGCCAAAACGTTGGAAACTTGACATGACTCTCGTGGCGAAAAAGTCTCCGCTATAGGGAGTATTTTGAGAGGAGCATCAACTAAGGTTAACCGTAGAACCCACCCACTTCAATTGGATTCTGCTCATAGAGGCCATTCCACTTCCTACTAAGCAAAAATGGATTGCACAGGAAATAAAAGCCAACGATCAAAGACCCAAGCAAAACCCCAAAAAACATAAATGGGAAATTCGAAACCTCAAGAGGGGTTTAGATACATGTAAACTAAACATTTGATTAACTGAAGACCATGCGCATGCAGATTCGTGAAAATCTCCGAAAGGAAATGTCTATGGGAAGGAGGAATAATTGTTGTTTAAATGTAACACATTGAAAGATTTGCGGATGGGGACTGTGGAAGCCAGATCCTATGGCCGATTTCCGTGAAATCAACGGTGAAATGAAGAGATGTTACATCTCTGATAAATGCTTGCAGACTACTGATCTGTGAAGGGACATCGCTACAACTTTGGGTTGGATAGAATTAAGAAGGAATAAGCAACACGGCAACGGAGCAAAGTAAGATACACAAAATAGAAGTTTGACTTGGTGGACAACTGCGTGCTCGAAATAGGAAACCGAAATTCTTAGGTGTTTGCGTCCCAAGGACTTTGATTTATGATCAGGACAAGCTGTCAAAAAATAGTGGATCAAGAAGGGTAAGTAGATAGGAATGGATAGTTCAATGGGTAGATTTAGGTTGGGAGAAAAATGGCGGAAAAGGATGGAGAGATGGAGGGAACTTGATAGTTTTAATGATTCTGCACTGGATAAACTGCAGTAGAGCGGATGGCAATTTCGATGATCAGGGCAGTAGTGGCATATTAAGATTGAAGAGCACCGATATTCTCGGCACTTTACCTTCTGGTCTGTATAAGTTTAATGGCTAAAATAGCAATAAATAATCCAATAAGCAACCAAAACGGGTTGGTAACTAAAAGGGGAAAACGGGCAATCGGCAGTTGATGGAAGTAAAGTCTCGTTCAACAGAATGTTGTAAACGGTCCAAAAGGTCGTTGAGTGACCAAGTCGAACAAGTGATGCCACATGACAAGGTAGACTCAGAGCTCATACGAAACGCTTTTGACAAAAAATGTACCAGAAGTCGCAATCACTTGACGAACCAACTTCCGCCAGTGATATTCCTCTATACACAAGAATTCTTTACAGAGGTCATAGAGAAGAAAGATGCACCACATCATACATACACGTTGTTCAACCGTAGCACCCTCGACGACCCAATGAGATATACTGGGGAGTGTCCGTCATAGAGAGAAAGATGCAACACATCATACATACACGTTGTTCAACCGTAGCACCCTCGACGACCCAATGAGATATACTGGGGAGTGTCCCTTCGATGCTCACAGAGTCTCTCGTACCAGGTTGGTCCATGGGCAGAGGTCTGACGAACACAGTCTCCTGGCCCTCCAGGTTGGGGGTTGGAACATGTGTGGCAAATTGTTCCGTAGAAAAGGTAATGCATTTGCATTTCCCCGCCAAACACCGCTGCCCTGCGGTTAGGCTTTCCAGCCAAGGGCTTTGG